CTGTAGAGAATTTCAGGAGATATGATATATTTACTGAAAACATTTATTGATTTATTTTGTAATGTTACATTTGTCAATACTTAAAATTATCAAGTAGTCAGCCTCTTCAATAATTTGAGTGTTCTAAAATTTTTTTGATTAATGTTTCTTTTTCATTATTCTTTTTCCTTTTTTTGGTTGAATCATAATGAGATCCACAGTTACAAGTTGTTCGTTTCAGTCGTACAATGTTGGAACACCCTTCCCTTAACCAGTGTACCTTTCCCACCACCAGTGTCCCCAGTGTCCCTCCCAGTCTCTCACTTCCCCCAGCCCTTGTCCGCCCCACCCCCTCGTTTTGGGCATTTTAGTTCTCAATACAGATACTGAAAGTTTATCATGTATAACCCTTTACCTACTTTCAACACTCAGTTCTTGTCCAAAGTGATCATTTCCAACCATCACTGCCAGACTGGTCTCTTCTCTATCCTAATTGCCCTTTGCCCTACACACACTCGGGGCAAGTTTCCAACCATTGAGCAGTCTTTCTGGTCTTAAATTGAGTACTTTTAAATTTTAATTCATTTCACTTGATCACTTGACTTCCCGTTAATGATCAATTTGCTCGAGTGGGCTCCAGTAACGTCTCCATTTGTCCCTGTCACGTGCTAGTGTAGCCCAATGGCGTCTGTACGTTCTAGGAACACGAAGAGCCTCAAACCTATCGTTCAGGGTCTTGACGAAGAAGTCTGACCATCTTGTAGATGGGCGGCCACGTGTTCTTTTGACATCCTGTGGAATCCAGTCAGTAACGGCTCTAGTTCAGCGGTCGTCTCCAAATCTCATTACGTGTCCAGCCGATCTGATTTTCAATGCCTTGGCAAATGAGACAGCGTCCCTGATTCTTTTTTTTTTTATAATTACTGACAGATTTATTTATTTATTTTTCAGTTCTAAAATTATTTTTTTATTAAAATTGTTTAATAGTGAGACATCATGAGGTACAGTTGCAGAGTTGTTTAATAGTGAGACATCATGAGGTACAGTTGCAATAATTTGAGTATTCTAAAATTTACACATTTTTGTGCTTGAGTTTCAATTATACAATGATCAAATACCCATCCCTCCACCAGTCGATGGAGGTAGGAACTCTGGATTCTTTCTCTCATTTGAGTGAAACGTGATACTCCAAGCATAGCTCTTTCAATTCCTCTTTGGGAGACCTGAATAGTGTTCTCATCCTTTTTGCGTAGGGCCCAGGTCTCTGAGGCGTATGTTAATGCAGGAAGAACAGTGGAATCAAAATTAATTAATTATAATTAATTAAAAAAAATTTGGGTCCATATCCAGTTGTGCTCACGGTTTACTCCTGTCTCTGAGCTCTGGGGTCACTCCTGGCAGTGCTCGGGGACCATTATGGTGCAGGGGAATTAAACCCAGGTTGGCAAGTGCCAGACAAGTGCCTGAACTACTGTACTATTGCAGAACTGAAAAAAAAAAGAAAAAAAAAGAAAAAACCAAACCCAAACAGTCTGGATTTGAATTTGGAGGTGTTTGCCTTACTGTTCTTGCTCTGTGACGACATGGTTCCCCACAGACCGATCGTAGGTGTCATGTGGTCGGATGTCCCCCGCCTTCTCCCTGGACCCCAGTCCCTCAGTGGAATGAACTCTGTGCTGCTGTTGGGATTTCCCATGGCTCTGTCGGGCTGCCATACTTAGGTTACTTCTTCAAGTCTTCAGTGAGAAGTACACAGGCACACCTTATTTTTGTTGGCTTTGCTTTGTTGACATTTGCAGGTATTCTATATTATTTTTATAAATTGAAGACTTGTATTTTCCCCAAATAAAGCAAGCTTATTTATTTATTTTTTCCCCCTCAGTATCAGATGCTTACTTTGCGTTTGTGTCCTATTTAGCTAAGGCTCATTGCTAATGCGTGTTTAATAGAATATTGTGTGAGTATAGGCACGGGGAATCCAAATTTTTCTAACAGTTGCTGCATTACAGTTGCCAGGAATCCTACCTGCATATACCTCTGAGGTGTTTTGTAATGAAAAGTAGGGCAAACACTAATTTAGCCAATGAGAAAAGAGGCAGTGAAAAGCTTTGAGATTTGCAGTGTCACGGGAAGAAGGATGTCATTGACCATTTTGATGGACTGTTCACTGATTTCTGAGCGGGCCATTTGCTCGAGCACTGACAGACGTGAGCATGGAATGCCATGGAAGTGAAGGAAGGGGCCTCTGAGTGGGAGCCCGGGGCAGAGAGGGGTCTGCTGGGGAGTGCATGGGCATGGCTTCTGAGATGTCTGAGATGGCACTCAGAGCGTGTGTTGGATGTCAAGGAACTTGGGAGGGTGGTGGACCTTCATTCAGCATGTGCCTTCTCTGTCACGCTGAGTTTTTGCCGTTTTTGACTGAAATGTGGAGTCAGTCATTATCTCGTTTTTGCAAGGGGCTCCCGTGCCTGTGTTTGCGCTTTGGGAAGATGGTCCTGATGCCAGTATGGAAGGAGGATGTGGCGGGAGGGGCAGCCTGCAGGTAAGGGGGGCTAGAGAGAAGGGTGAGAAGTGTGGGCTGCAGAATTCCAACTACAGGATGGGCGGTGGAGAGCTAGGACAGTAGGGAGGACACTTTTCCTGCATGTGGCCGACCCCAGTTTTGACACTCAGCACCCCAGAGGGTCCTCAGAACCCAGTGGCAAGTGGTCCCTGAGCACCAAGCCCAGAGTAAGACCAGCACACTGCTCGTGTGGCTCGTTCCCCCTGAGTGGGCTCCCAGGATTGTGAACTGGGAGAGCTAGAGGTCTGGACATCGTTGGTGGGATTGGTGGTCATAGCTGGAAATGAGACGTGCTGGACTTCTGTCCAAGCCTGGGACATCACAGGAGAAAGAGAGAGACACCTAGGAAGGTGAGAGGGAAGTCACAGAGGTACATGGGCCTAACTCAGAGGTGGCTGGGTGGACCGGGCTGGATGGTGCTGTTGACCTGGGCCAGCAGAGCCAGGCGGGTTGCGGGAGGAGGCTCAATGACATGTGTGTACTGCAAGCTTGGTGACATGCGTTCCATCCCGCCCACAGCGGCTCCTCTGAGGAGGGCATGTGAGGGGGCAGGATGGGTGATTAAAAGGGGTCTAGAGCCCAGAGTGTCTGCAGCAAGGGTTGCGTGAAGGAAGGAGCCTGGAGTGGGCAGTCCTGTCTTACTGGCAGAGATGTCTTCCTTGGCAACAGACCTTAATTTATCATTGTATTTATTGACCATTCCCCTCCCCCCCCGTCCCTCCGCTTTTTTTGGTCAGGTAACACTAACACTAGATAATATTTTTCCATGAAGCTCATTTCCCGACTGCAAACACTGATGTAGCTGCTCTCCGTTTCCCCCCCACCCTTTTCTTTTTCTCAAAGTGTGCATTAAGTTTGTTGCCTGAGGCACCTTTGGATTTCTCCCATCCTTTTGGTACAGATAGTTGAATGCTGCTCCAAGTCCCGTATATCCCCTGCTCTCCCAGAAAATTACTGACCTTCGTGGGCAGAATCTACATGCACCCCTTCCTAACCTTTCCTGACTGCGCTGAAAATGTGTTCATCCCACAAGTTCATTTATGCAGGAATGAGACTCAGTGTAGCTCACCAAGTTTGTATAAGTTTAAAAAGCTGTCGGGGCATGAACATCTCTGTGTATAGGGTGTCTCCTATCTGAATACCAATGGGAGAGATTTTTAGGGATTGTATCTTTTAATTTCATATTCTACCTCTTAGAACTGGTGGAGAGATAGCACAGCAGGTAGGGCATTTGCCTTGCACGTGGCCGACCCGGGTTCGATCCCTCTGCCCTCTCGGAGAGCCTGGCAAGCTACCGAGAGTATCCCGTCCTCATGGCAAAGCCTGGCAAGCTCCCTGTGGTGTATTCGATATGCGGAAACAGCAACAGCAAGTCTCACCATGGAGATGTTACTGGGCCCTCTCGATGAACAACGGGAGGACAGTGCTACGGTGCTACCTCTTAGAATAATCAACTGATTAGCTTTTTAAAAAATCATTTACAAAGATGAAATCCATATATTGCAAAAAAGTTCTTGCTAACATAATATTGTTTCTACGCTCGAGAAAGTCTGGTTGTGAGTTCTGGACCTCAGCTGTACTTTTGGGCACATCCCCAGAACCTTCTCGAGGACATTCTCTCTGCCGGGGGGCATTTATTCCTGTGCACCGTTGCACTTACCAGCAAGTGATGGAGGTCGAGTGCCAGGCTGATGCCTCGCCCCGAATTGGCTGCTGTTTTGAGTAAATGTGCCTCTTCTTTGAATGTCACTGTAATTCTAAACACCCAACAAAACCCGCAGAATTTTCAGCTTGAGATTTGTATGGACAAAACGTGCAAGTGTGGAGATTAAGAAGTCAGAGTGGAATGGAATTCTATTAGTGAAAAGTATTTAGGGAAGCATTTCAGTGATATGAAAGGATTTAAAGTTACATGTTTTTCTTTGTTTTTTGGGCCATACCCGGTGGTGCTCAGGGTTTACTCCTGGCTCTGTGCTCAGGAGTTACTCCTGGTGGTGCTCGGGGGACCATCTGGGGTGCTGGGCATCCAACCCAGGTCAGCCACATGCAAGACAAGCGCCTTGCCTGCTGTACTCCAGCCCCTACTTAGACCTTTTTTGTTTTGTTTTGTTTTGGGGTTCTTGGGGCTTATTTTGGCGCTGCGCTCAGCGATCCCTCCTGGTGGGGCTCGGCGACCCTGTGGGGTGCTAGGGATGGAACTTGGGCACGCCCCCTCCCCACTATACTATTGCTCCCCCCCTCCTGAAGTTACATTTATGTGATGAAGCACTGCGTTAATTATTTTTGTATTTATTTATTGTTACTTATTTTTGAAGACTACAGTGAAATAAATGCTTATTTTGATTATGGCAAGACAGAAAACCGATATTTGGAATACCCCCTCCTGCTTAGACAGTAGATGCGTGGTGAGGCCGTCTCTTCTCCCGGAGAAGCCGTGACTTGTTCCTTTCCTTTGCAGCCAATCTCCCGGTGCCCACGATCGCGGCCATCGACGGGCTGGCCCTCGGCGGGGGCCTGGAGCTGGCCTTGGCCTGTGACATACGAGTAGCAGGTGAGGTGGAATCCCTGACAAACTTTCTTTCTATAAAACAAAAACAAAAACAAAAAACCAATGAAGTTTGTATTTACTGTCGAGTCAATTTTCAGTGTTTCTTTCTTTCCAGATGGTTCCTAGAGTATTTACAGAAAGTTTCTGCTGGGTTATGAAATACTTGAAGTGCTATTTGTTTAATTTTTTCCCCCCAGCTTTTTATATCATCATTAATCTGTGATAAAAGAGAGGCATGTCAATTCCTTCTAGGAGGAATGCTTTCAGACCTTAGAAATAATTGACATTTCAGTCAAGAAAGCAGTCTCTCATGGTGTCTGAGGTGGGCTGGGATGAAGACCTGGTTTGGGCTGAGCTGGGTTTTCCCAGCTTTCTCCTGTACATGCAGGGAGATGACTGTTGCTGGGGCTGACGACTGTGACTGGGTCTACTATGTGCTTAATGTGCCTTGTCCAGTCCTTTTTTTTGGGGGGTTCCACCTGACTACTCAGGCCTGACTCCTGACTCACTCTCTGCTCAGGGATCACTCTTGGTGGGGCCCGGGGGAACTTAAGAGGTGCCAGGATCAAACCTGATCACTCCAGTCTCCTGTCCAGACTCCGAACTATCCTTAGTGAATAATGAGAAACAATTCATAGCATCTGTAGTTCCCCGGGTATTCTGATAGTCTCACAGTCCTGGCAGCTAGGTGCTTTGCAGTGCAGGAGGGCACACAGGAGAGAAAGGAAGCCACAACCCCCGCTTTGTGGCTGAGCTGGGATTTCACACTCAAGCAGTGTGACGTGCCAGCCCCACTCCTGTAGCCACCAGGAACACCGCACACACGTCATCCTGGTGGTGCCAGTGACCTGTGTCGTCAGGGATGGCAGACACATGGGGTGAAGCAAGTGCTCATGCTGTGTGTCCTCTTGGTCTGCTGCCTGCCACTGCTGACCAAATGTTATTAAAAATAGAGTCTGGGTTCAGTCCTGCCACCCCCTAGAGTCCTCCTAGCCCTCCGGAGTGACCCCTGAGTGCAGAGCCAAGAGCAAGCCTGTCGGGTGTGGCCCCCGAACCAGAACTAACCAAAACTAGAGTCTGCGTGATGATGTTTTTAGTAAACATCATCATTTGGTGACCCTTTTTTGGGGGGAGGGATTTGTAATTTGCGAATTCACGACTTCTTTTTTTCTTTGGCCCTTGAGTTTTGATGGTTAATTTTCTGACTTAAAATCACTGGATTTGACGTTGATAAAGCTCAGGACTATGTAATTTATCTCTGAAAGAGTACAGTTTCTGGGAATTAGGATGTGGGGACTAGTCCAACTACGTTTGAATATGCAGATGAAAGAATAATTAAGATGTTTTTAAGTAGCTATACCAAAAAAAAAAAGAAAGAAAAGAGGAACCTGGTGCAGCTGTCAGAGCAGTAAAGCCATTTGTTGAAGGTAACTAGCGACTTTGTGAGAAGTTCCCACATCTGATGTTATCTGCTGATCTGGAGGCCTATTTGGGCAACTGAAGAATTCAGTGCTTGTCAGCTCCAGCTTCTCTCCTGATTCTGAATAATTGACGGCATCTAAGGTTCCCAAATGCTCTGGCAGCATTAGGCAGATAGTCACAACCCTGACCTTGCTGCTCAAAAGTGAATTCACTGCCAAGTCACTTTTAACAGAAAACGGGGAGTCTTGTCATCTGTGTTACGGAGTGTACTTACTCATCTCCATAACTCAGTGCCTCTGAAGTGGTTTTAAAAAAGTATTTGCAACACAGCTTCCATTAGTAAACGGAATATTTGTAGCTTGTTCGACTAACTTTTCCAGCCCTGTTTGAAATTCACTCACACAGATGCTGCTGCACTTTCTCTTCCTTTGTAGCGTCCTCTGCCAAAATGGGCCTGGTTGAGACCAAGCTGGCGATCATTCCCGGTGGAGGTAGGACTTTCCCACGCCCTCCGGTCAGGGTCTGCCCCTGATTTACTCCTCCAGCTGGGGCACGAGGTATAGTAAGCTGGGACAGTAACCAGAGACCCAGAGACCCCTCTCGCTTGTTCCTGTAGGGAAGCTCCTAATAGAGGCCCAGCCTGGGGGTGAGTGTGTCGCAGGCGGCTGAGATGCTGCTCTTCCGGGGTCTCCTGACTTCTTAGTCATTGTTTCAGTCACCTCTTAAGGAGGGCTCTGATATTTCCAAACTTCCAAGTAGGTGGACACTTGTGTGTCCCCCGCGGAATGTCTTCTGCTTCCTGTCCCCTTTCTTGTCTCCCTGTGCCAACGGCAGGACCAGTGGGGTGGTTTGCTTGTGAGGCTGCCACTGTGTAGAAGACAGTGACCCGCTTCTCTGGGACCCCCTTTCGGTCCAGGATTTCCTGCGCTGATGATGGAATCTTACGCCTGACACGTTTCCCGCTATGCCAGATCTTATTTGGGGTTGTTCCTATTGGACAACGGTGTTCTTTCAAAAGACAGACAGGCTTTGAGGATGTGTGTGTGTGTGTGTGTGTGTGTGTGTGTGTGAGTGAGGAACAGCAGTAGGGTAAGAGTCCCGAGGCAGCGCTGCGGAACACATCAGGCATCTTGGGTCCTGAAGAGGCTAAACTCCTGTTTGATCGTATCATCATAGGGGTATATGTCCTGAAGAGGACACCGGCAGAAAGTAAAATAGAAAACACGAACGTGACTCAATGCAGTTTCTTACATTAGCAGTATATGAAAACGCTATTTTAATTGGCATAGAAGATAAAATTAGGTTTAAAAAAGAATATGAAATGTTTTTAAAATTCTTTGAGAAATAAGCATTGATTGGGAAGGCAGTTGACTATAGTTGAATGAATGGTGAAAGACCCTCTGCGTGCACACACGCCCACAACCCCTCCTACCCTCCCCCTGGTCAATAATCCAGAACATGAGAAATGTGAGTTCATTTGGAAGAAGAGTTGTTTTCTTTGTTTTAATTTTTTGGGGGTGTGTGGGGTGTAGGGTGGGTTTACTCCTGGCTTTGTATGCAGAAATCACATTTGGCAGTGCTTTGGAGACCATAAGAGGTGCTATAGATTGAACCTAGATTGCTACATGCAGGTTAGGCACCCTACCTATCTCTTCGGCCCAGAACAAAGTCTTTACAGAGTTAAAAGTAAGTTAAGCATCTTACATTTATTCTGGGTTATCTGAAGGAACCTTTACTCTTATGAGAAGAGTCCTGGAAGGAAGAGAAGATTCAGAAGTGAAGGCGAGACAGACTGAAGTGTTGTGTCTCTGGGTGCAGAGGACCACGGCTTGCTGAGGACTCCTGAGCCCGTGAGGGACAGGAAGAAAGTATTAGAGCTGGTGTGGTTTAGAAAGTAGGTGTGATGGACTATTAAATGAACCGGTACTTTTGTTTGTGCGCGCGCGCGCGCACACACACACACACACACACACACACACACACACACATATCCTTTTTTTTTGCTTTTTGGGGCACACCTGGGGATGCACAGGGGTTACTCCTGGCGATGCACTCAGGAATTACCCCTGGCGGTGCTCAGGGCACCATATGGGATCTGGGAATTGGGCCCGGGTTGGACGTGTGGAAGGCAAACACCCTATCTATTGTGCTATTGCTCCAGTCCCCACACATATATATATCTTGACTATAGAAAAACATTACTGTAGGACTGCCCTCCTGTTGTTCATCAATTTGCTGAGCGGGCACCAGTAACGTCTCCATTGTAAGACTACTTGTTACTGTTTTTGGCATATTGAATATATCATGGGTAGCTTGCTAGGCTTTGCAGTGCGGGCGGAATACTCTCAGTAGCTTGCCAGACTCTCTGAGAGGGACAGAGAAATCGAACCCAAGTTGGCTGTGTGCAAGGCAAATGCTCTACTCACTGTGCTATCGCTCCAGCCTAGAAAAATGTTACAGCATATAAAATATAATGTTAATGGTTTAAAGCTCTAGTTAAGTTTAAAGTAGCTAAGACCTCAGTACCCTCCTGTCAGTACTCAGAATCACGTGAGCTGTGCTGGTGTGCTGCAGAGCCTGTTTCATTCTCTAGTATTTCTTCCCTTAGGAAAGTAGCTAAACTTCCTGTTTTCTTCCATCTGGGAGATGCTCCAATGGTGAAAAATGAAATTCCCTTTAAGAAACGGCAACTTGGGGAAAAGTTAAAAGCCTTCCCTCTAAGATCAGGCACAAAAGAAGGTTGCCCACTCTCACCACTTCTATTCAGTATAGTATTTGAAGTACTTGCTGCAGCAGTTAGGCCAGAAAAGATATCTAGGGCATCCAGATAGGAAAGGAAGAAGTCAAGCTCTCACACTATTTGTGGATGACATGATACTATATTTAGAAACCCTAAAGACCCTACAACAAAGTTTCTGCATACGATAGATTTGTACAATAAAGTGGCAGGTTATAAAATCAGACGTCAAAGTCATGACTTTCCTCTACACAAATAATGAAATAGAAAGGAGAGATAATAAAAGGTCAACACTATTACAGTTGTACCTCAGAAAATTAAGTACCTAGGAATCAGTTAACTAAAGAGGTGAAAAATCAATACAAAGAAAACTGTAAAAATACTTCTTTAAGAAATGAAAGAAGTCACAGGGAAAGGGAAACACATTCTTTGCTCATGGATTGGGAGGATTGACATGAAAATGGCATTATACATTATATTCCCCAAAGCATTATACAGATGCATTGCAGTTTCTATAAGGACCCATGACATTTTTCAAAGAAATAAACATTTCTGAAACTGATATAGATCAGTACCCCACCTTCCACCCCAAACAGCCAGAGTATTACTTGGGAAAAAGATGGGAGGCTTAAAACTTAAAATTCAACTAAAATTATACTACAAAGCTGTAGTAATTAGAACAGGTTGGTACTGGAATAAGGACAAACCCTCACATAAATGAACTGTCACTGTCCTTCCATTGTTCATCGATTTGCTCTAGCGGGTCCAGTAACATTGTGAGACTTGTTACTGTATTTGGCATATTGAATACATCACTGGTAGCTTGCCAGGCTTTGCCGTGCGGGTGAGTTACTCTCGGTAGCTTGGCAGGCTCTCTGAGATGGGCGGAGGAATCGAACTCTGATCGGCCGTGTCAGCCACATGCAAGGCAAACACTCTACCCCCCTGTCCTAAATAGAAAAGAAAATCTAAAGATAGACCCAGGTATATACTCAGGTAATCTTTAATAAAGGATCAGAAAATATGAAATGAAGCAAGAATAGCCTCTTCAACAAATGGTGATGGAAAAATTTGGTTGGCCACATGCAAAAAAAAAAAAATGAACACAGATCTCTTTTAATTCCATACACAAAAGTCAAATAAAAGTGGTTTAAAGACTTTGATATCAGATCTGAACTATAAGGTACATAGATGCTCTCTTAGGGATGAAACACCTCTGACCAAACACGTGGAAGTAAAGATAAATGAATAGGATTACATTAAATCATAAGCTGCACCTCAAAAAAAATGATGTCCAGAATACAAAAAAGCCCACCTGGAAGAAATTATTTGCCCACCACTTAATCTGATGAAGGCTTAATATCCAAAACATATAAAGCACTGGTAGATGACTACAAGAAAAACAAAATAAACAGCCCAAACCCATCAAAAAATGTGGAGAAGAGATGAACAGAAACTTCCTCAAAAAAAAAATGACCAAAGGGCGTATGAAAAATGTCCTACATCACTAATAATCAGGGAGATTTAAATTCAAGAGACAATGAAACAACATTTCATGCCACGGAGATTGGCACTCATCAAAAAAAAAATGGTATTGGAGAGAATGTGGGTGAAAAGGAACCCTCATTCATTGCCAGTGGCAGTGTTGACTGATGCAGCCTTTCGGGACGTCAGTCTGGTCATTACTCAGAAAACTACCAGTTGAGTTTCTCTCCAGCAATCTCACTCTTTGGAATATACTTTTAGGGTCCAAAAGCACAATCCTGGAAAGACATCTGCACTCCTGTGTTCACTCACAGTAGCCAAAATCTGGAAACAACCCAAGTGCCCAAGAACAGACGACTGGATAAAGAAACTATGGTACATATACCCAACGGAGCACTCTTTGGCACTTAGAAAAGATAAGGTCATGCAGTTTGCTGTTGCTCGAATGGACTGTAGAGTACCACATTGAGGGGAAGGGCAGACAATGATCTCTCATATGCCAGATGTAAAGAAACTTTTTAAGGGAAGTAAAAGCTTCAAATGCAATAGAAACAAAGCGCAGGAGGGCTGGTCTTCAGTAGGAAGCTCAGCTGGTGCAGGGGTGAGGGGATGTGAGAGAAAGTACACTAGGACAGTGGAGGAGGGGGTAAGTTCGTATCACAGAGGCTTCAACAGCTGGGTGGCGGGAGGAAAACGGGACATTGGGGGTTGGGGGAGTGAACACTGGGGAAGGGATTGGTGTTGGGCCTTGTGTGTCTGAGACATATTAGTGAATAACTTTATAACTCTGGTGATTAAAAAAAATTTTTTTTTTTTTTTTGGCTTTTTGGGTCACACCTGGCAATGCACAGGGGTTACTCCTGGCTCTGCACTCAGGAATTAACCCTGGCGGTAGCTCAGGGGACCATATGGGATGCATGGAATCGAACCTGGGTTGTCCACATGCAAGGCAAATGCCCTGCCCGCTGTGCTGTCACTCCAGACCTGATTAAAAATTAAAAAAAAAAAAACAAAACAGCAACTCAAACTCCATTCTTTAAGCACTTTTTATATAAGACAAGTGAGATTCTTTAATTTAGTAGTTTACACTATTGACATAGAAGATATAGACAGATTACTTCTTTTTTTGTCATTTTATTTATTTTTATAAAGTTATTCATGATGATTTGTTACAGACATAATATCCTAACACCAATCCCACCACCATTATTTCCAGTTTTACTAACCACCTCTTAAGCTTGCCGTCATAGGAGGCCCACAATAATATAT